TCATTGTTGTTTGGCGGGTCCGGGCTGGGGATTTGAACCCGCCACCTTAGGTGTACGTGGCTGGCGCCTTAGCCAGTTGAGCTATAGGTGCGGAGCCGAAATAAGAAAATCTTAACTAAAAATCTTGGCCAACAACTCATGGCTATTGCATCAAGACAATGTACCAGTTCACATAGCACTATCTGTGAGGGAGTGTTTAGCCAGTAAACAAATTAACTATATTGGAGCACCCTCCCTAATCACCTGATCTGGCCTCCAGTGACTTTTTTCTTTACCTAAAGATAAAGGAAATATTGAAAGAAAGACATTTTGATGGCATTCAGGATATCAAGGGTAATACAACTTTGATGGCCATTCCAAGATTGCTTTCAAGGGTAGACTAGTTGCTGACTTTGGTCCAGAGCTTCCCAAGGGTAATATTTAAATGGTGACCATAGTGATAGTAATGAGGTATGTAGCACTTTTTCTAGGATGACTTTGTGAACTTAATTGTAAGACCTTGTATACAAGGGAGCTGTGATGGGCTTGATTTTACTCTCTTTATTAGTTGGGGAAGACAGCCTAGTGGAGAGTTGAGTGAGTCAATGAAAACCCAAGACCACAGATGCGAAAGGTCCCTACCTGGGGGCACCAGCTGCACGAAGAGAAGGACACTGCCACCCAGGAAGAGGGCGGTGGCCATGGAATAGCGCCGGGGCAGATACCGCAACAGCAACCAGGCCAGCACATATGCTGGGACTTCAACCACAGCCGAAAGGAAGCAGTTCATATAGACGTCCCCATGCAAGTTAGGAGTATCAAGGGAAAGCCCAAAATAGCCCACTGATATGGTCATCCTGAAAGAGAGCGCAGAAGAAAGAAAGGTGGAAATCAGTACCCACATCTCTCCCAGCCTAAACAACTCTTAAAATGCAATTATTTCAGTAAAAGTCCAAACTACTCTTTAAGCAGGGAATAGGAAGGCAGCAGCAGATTTAACCCTGCATCTTAGTTCATGAAAAAAAGATAACTTCTCCTGGCCCAGGTGGTTCAGTGTAAAGCAAGGTGTCCAACCATTTTTTCCCTCTGCTGCCCATTGGAAGAAGAGGAGGTATCTTGGGTCACAAATACACAAACACTAACAAAAGCTACTTAGCCGGGGGAAAAAAAAGGTCTGTGCATACTTTTCATGATATTGGATGCCAGGGATAAGCAAAAAAAAAAAAGTCCTCACAGAATCAGTATTCGGATTGGGCACTCCTTCTGTCAACTCTGCACTGGTGTACTTTCAGAGCATTCCATACAAAAGGCATCACAGCAGAAACACTTATATAATTCAGACAGATTTACTTCATTGAACAAAATTCCATCCTACGCTCAGGCTTTAAAAATACTAAGCTGAGGCATTTACAGAAGCCCTCCTTATTCTCTGAACCTCCCCAAATCCAGCAACTGCTGAAGGAGCTAGAGAATAAGGTAGTAGATACCAAGTGAGGTGTGACAGGACTGGAAAAATAAGATAAAATAAGGGATAATATTCAGTCATACTATGTGTGGTGCCCATCCAGGAAGCGGCTGGTGAGAGGCAGCTGAAACCAACCCCACTGTGCTCATGGAGAATACAGGAACTCCCAGTGGTGGGGCCAGGTTGTCTCTTGTCTGGGTGTCTGCAACGTGCCTGGCCTGCGCCCTGTCCCTAGTAGGCATTCTCTCTGCTGAGGATCCACACACATTTTGGCAAACTGGACCTTTATGGATTACACTGTTTATGACTCATCGGCAGCTGATATGATGAAGAAAGAACATGTACATGAGTTCCTGGGAAATCCAAGCAGAAGAGACTGGGTAAACCACAGTGGGTGACTGGTGGCAGGCTGGCAAGTCAGTGGTGCAGGTTGCATGCTAGCTCTGTCTTGAGGTAGACTTGGAGCACTGCATGCCTCAAGGCATCCTGGACCACTCCTTGGAAATGTGTGATACATAGATAACCCTAGTGGATAAGTCTCATAATCAGCCCTCCTCATCTACCTTAAAAAACGCTTACCCAGCAGGTTCCAGGAGTCACCTATAATCCCCAGGATCTGTCCACTGAATTAGTTATCCAGGCACTGGCCATGTTTCCTCTCTCCAATAACTCACATCTCTTCCTGACACACTGGGAGATGTCTCATTAGAAGGAACCTGGTGAGGACACCTAAGCTATGTCTCTTTAACTCTGAACATCCCAGAAAGAGCACGTCCTGCTTCCACATTTCCAGAAAGCACTCAGCAGCCTCTACAACCTAACAGACATAGTGTCTTCTCTCAGATCCTTCTTAAAAGTTTTACCTGTCCTGCTTAGCCACTGTCTGTGACTGGGTAGGAGGGGATAAGGCATAGGAGCAACTAAATGAGGACCCAAAGTGAGCAGGGATTCACCTCAGGACCTGGAGAGACACCCACTCCCACCACCACCAAAGATCCCATATTTTCCCAAACAGCCTCCACAAAAGTTTTCATTTTTTTTTTTTTGGAGGTTCTATCACATTAAGAATTTTAACATGCTCATTTCTTCCATCTATCACAAGACATATCCCCTTGACTTTCTTTTTCTTTTTCTTTTGAGACTGAAGCTGTCACCCTGGGTAGAGTGCCGTAGCGTTACAGCTCACAGCAACCTCAAACTCTGGGGCTTAAGCAATTCTCTTGCCTGAGCCTCTTACATAGCTGACACTACAGGCATCTGCCATAATGCCCGGCTATTTTTAAGTTGTAGTTGTCATTGTTGTTTGGTGGGCCCAGGTTGGATTTGAACTTGCCAGCTCCAGTTTATGTGGCTGGCGCCCTAGCAGCTTGAGCTACAGGTACCATCCCTTTGACTTTCTGATGACACAGGCTTTCAATTTTGGTCTGAGGCACATCTGTGAATGACAGGCCTGATGGCCACTTTCAGTGCTTTGTCTGAGCCTCAGGCAGATCTCACTTACGCACCACAGAATTATGGACATGATGGTGACTATTCGGATATTCCGGGTTCGGAGCAGGTCCAGAATGCTGTGGGACTGCTGCTTCTTAGAACTTAGGTCTTGTAACTGCAGGAACAATATGATAAGGGAATGGGAAGGAGAAAAGGTCAAGAGACTGAGACTCACAGTAAACAATACACTTGAAACTCCAGCGTCTTAGCTATCTCCATCTCAGAGCTGGGAGTGTTATATTTCTTCCTTAAAAAGAACAGTCTAGCGACTGCATTGGGGCTGCTGAGAGCTTCCCCAGGCCTTGTCAATAACAAATCGGAATGAACAAGAATAAGGAGGAAAAGCAGGTGGTCAGTCCCTACCTTGGGGTGTGGCAGAGGCAGAGGCCCAAGCTGAAAGCTCCCTCATTGCTCAACCCCGTCCTCCCTTCAGTGGCCACATTCCAGGGAGGCCTCTGAGCATTTCTTCCCCACGCTGGCTCCCTGCCCTCTGGGTCAGAGAGAAAAACTGGCTGTGGAGTTTATTGATGTAATATTTTTTAAAAAGTTAATGTTCTGAGTTCTTATACCGTATAGTTACTGGTCTGCTTCCAGGGGAAAAAATATTCTAATAGAAAAACAGGAAAATTGACCTAAGCTTCACCCAGAGTAACTTCCTATGAAATTCCGCACAGCCACGGCCATTAATAAACCACACGTCTAAACACACTGATGTTGCTTTCTTAAGCAAACCCAGCTTTGGAGCTTGTTGTTCCTGAGTTAGCAGTTCAACGCAAGGTCAACCTCTGACTTAAAGGATCCCTGAAATAGCCTCATTTCCTCAAAGATGCCAGTCAGGTTTATGGGTTCACCCAGATTGACCCCTCACTGAAAAGCCACCAGAGCCACCTCATTTGAAAGCCCTCCACTGCACGCCTGCCCTGACCTTTGTGCATCAGAGCCCTGTTCAGTTTGAGCTGAGTGCCACTGGTTGCTGGGTGACCATTTCACCAAGAAATCAGCAGGGCTGCTGGTGGCCATTGGTCCCTGCTGCCTACAATAACTGGCCCCCTTTTTCCAAGCCCTAAGTCTATGCTGCAAGTCCTGAGTATCTGTAACGCGCCTGGTGCTCACACTTCAGCATGACTACTTGTGGCTGCCCCCACAGCCAACACCTCGTCTTTCCATCAGACAAAACTCATCCCAGAACCACAGCAGCCACAGCTGATGGCTTCCAACCTCTCCTCACAGTCACAAAACTGAGGAAAATTGCCTGCTGCAGAGAGAGCAGGAGGAGAGGGGACAGGAAGGAAAAGCAAGAGCCAGGAACTAGGCAAGAAATTACTCATGGCACACGAGGATGCGGTTTGTAGGGAGAGCTGAGGTAAGGGAAGAGGTGAACATTAAAAAGGGCCCGACTCCTAGATGATGTGCAAGAGCTAGGCCACAGCTAGGCACTGGAGGGCAGAAAGAGACGAACGCCTCCCAATCTACCTGTGCTTTGTATTTTATGGTCTGGATTATCTTTTAAAGATAACAAGCCACCTCAGGCATAAGAAACAATGATTTCCCAAAATGCTAACTTTGTCAAAATCCTACCACTTATAAAAGATGTTTATTATTAAAAATAATGGTGAAAACAAGATTGCTTAGTGGGGAAGTAAATAAAGCAGAAAAACCTAAAATTCACGGGAAAGGTGCAAATTAGGCAGTTATAACCTGTTCTTCAACTTCTAAGTTTTTTTTCTTTTTTTGCAGTTTTTGGCCAGGACTGGGTTTGAACCTACCACCTCTGGCATATGGGACTGGCACCCTACTCCTTGAGCCACAGGTGCTGCCCAACTTCTAAGTTTTAATAGGACCTGCCTGGGGGGGGGGGCAGCTGGATTTGGGCAGGGACTCCTGGGAACGGGTAGGCTTCAGAGCTGGGGGCTACCCTCAAATCATGGACAGCATGGCCCTCTCACCATCCATCTCCTATGTGGGGCTTACCTCACTCGGGTCAAAGATGGTGGAGGGGGCAACAATCCCATTCATTTTGGCAGCCCTGCGGATGATCACCTCTGCCTCCTTGAATTGTCCCTGAGAGATGAGCCAACGGGGAGACTCAGGGATGAACCTGGAAGCACAAGGAGCAGGCTCAGTGAGGCCTCCCTGCCCAATAGCTGACCAACAGAGCACATAGGGCATACCCGGATACGTGAACAGGAATGTGGGTTCAGAACCAGATGTAGGTTTGTGGAATGTTTGGTGTTCAAAAGCCAGAGGCATAGACATGTTCCATACTCAGTAATAACCTGGAGGGCCCTGCACACCCTGATGGGATCCTAGTACTGGCTGGTCATTTCAGAAGAGTGATGGTACCACCTGGTAGGCTCTGACGAGTCAGGTGCAAGGCATGCTCCTCCTAAAGCCTGGATTCTGTGGCTATCTCAGGCCAGCCCAGTCCCTGTTATCCTCCCATCCTTGTCCCCAGCATCCACAGAAGGTTCTACACTGGCCATCTCCTCACCCCACCCCTGATTTATCCAACAGACTTGTAAGACTCTCCACCTAAAACAGTATGTTGTCAAGGCATGTGAGTGCTTTGGGTCTTTGTGGATATTTTCTATCACACTGGAACCAGGCAGCTGTCCAGCCTTCTGTCACGATGTCCTGTTTCCTCTCCCCCTATCCCCTGAAACGCTCTCCATTCCACATGGACCAGTGGTCTCATCTTCCCCACACCTCGGCTCCTTAGCTGTGTTCCCTCTAAGTATGGAATGGCCTCTTTTCTGCACGTCCAAGTCCTCTATCTTGGAGGCGCTGGTGGAGCCTGGCCCCCTCCATACAGCCACCCTGAGGACTTGTGTTTAGTGCACTCCCTCTTCTTCTAGTGCCTGTGGCAAGAGGCCTCAGCCACACACAGCCAGACCCTGGGCCTATGTTGCCTTGCCCTGGGCTTTGGGAACTTCCTGGAGGTCATTTTGGACCACGTCTTCTCACAGCTACTCTTTCCTCTCCCTATATTTAGGATAATACAGCACAGGGCTGAGAACAAGTCTGGTGAAGTCTTGGGATTCTGTTTTGTTTGAGCTCTTTTGAGCATGGAGAAAACATTCTGAAACCACTAACAAATAATCGATACTTCCTGTCTTTGGGAGCCCAGATGGGGATTTGTGGGCTGCTATTGCCCTCTAGCGAAGGCTAGGCAGAAATCATCCTGCCAGCGCACACCACTGGGACAGGGCCACCCACACTCACCACCAGAGTGCCACGCATAGTACCCCTGGCACCGTCAGTGCCAGCAGCAGCATCCGCCAGTCTCTGATGAAGTAAGCAAACAGTGGCAGCACCATGTAGCCGAAGGCATAAAATATGCACACTCCTAACGTGGAGAATATAATACGAATTGACTTGCCAAGAATTTCTGTTCCTGTTCAGAACAAGGGAGTAGTAATGTTAGCATTTTAATTTGGGTTATTTCCTTATTAATCATCAACGGTTATCATTTTCAACACACAGATAAGAAAACAGCCAGAATTATCCTTAAAGTTCCCAAGCCTGAGGGAAGGGGTAGGCGTCTGAACACAGCCCAGTCTGACCAGCTCCTTGGGTCACCTCACTATAGTCTCTCAGACCCCTTAGCAACAGTTCTCTCAAGCAAATGTCACCATTTTTCTTAAGCTATATGCTAAAGTTGCCATATTAGGCCCCCTTTAATCCTCATAAGAAGAAGAATTCATTAAAGGTGAAGTATTACAAGGCCACAGGTGCTAATATCCTTCAAGGAAAAATTATACTCTTAAATGTGAAAAGAAAAAAATAATACTTTCAACAGTGCAACCCAAAGACCTTATTAGCTGGAGTCAAATTCCTCCAGAGAAACTGGAAACTTTTCAGTGATACAGTAGGGCCGGCATGTCTGAGCCAAAGCGCTGCGGTGTACACTCTGAATTAAAACCCTGAAGGTAACTAACCCCACTCTTATCAATTGAGTCCCACCTATAGATATCATCAGCCACAAGGAGGAGGCAGTTCTCTTCCTTTACAGGCCTGCCATTCACAGCCCTTACTCCCCATGCACCATGCCTCCCTCCTTCCCTAGCTACCTTAGCCCTGTGCAGTGGCAGGCCCTTTTAAAAATGGATGTTCTCTGGTGAGTCCTTGTAAAATGGCCATCCAGTACTAAAAAGGCCAGAAAGGAATTGGAAATCTTGCTGCTGAGGACACAATAGGGCCAGGTGGGGGCCAGAAAAGGATTGGAAATCTTGCTGCTAAGGACACAATGCTAGTCAGTTGTTTGGTTCATTTTCTCTGCCTATAAATAGAGTTTGCCAGTAAGCTCTGGCTGGTTTTGCTGGAGATCAGTTTCCCCTGAAGGAACATCATAGCTATCTCCAGAAAGGCAGGTAGTAAGACGATGGTGAAACACAGGACCAAGTACTCAACTCCAACCTGATGGCCATACCCAGGACAAATGCTGCCACATAGTTGGAAATCTGGCCCATGCCTACAAAGGTAAACAGCACGATAAACATCTCGAAGTTCTTCGAGAAGACCTGCAGGAAGCTGAAGCCTGTCTGCATGGCCATGGTTACAAACAGCACTTTCTTCCGACCGAACCTGGGAAGGAAAGGAGAACGAAAGAGAATCAACTGGAAAAAGGCAGCAGGAATGGGCTCTACCCAGACCCACGCAGGGAGGGGCCATGGACAGTGCTGCCAAGGTAGCCAGGTACAGTCCCAGTCTCACTGTCCCCACGCTGTTACTCCCCTCCCCCACTTGCCAGGATGAATGTGCCGTCTGGGCACCAGGGTCACTCAAAAAGCAGGTACCACAATTATGATAACAATCGAAACACATCTATTATCCTTACATCCAGACATTCATAATATATATGTTTTTTTGAGGCAGTATTTTGAAACTGATTCTCTTTTTTGTTTGTTTTTTGAGATAGGGTCTCACTCTGTTACCCAGGCATCAGCCTAGTTCTCAGCTACCTCAAACTTCTGGGTTCAAAGGATCCTCCTGCCTCAGCCCCCCAGGAACTATAGGTGACTACCATAATGCCTGGCTAATTTTTTTCTATTTTTAGTAGAGATAGGGTTTCCTGCTCAGGCTGGTCTCAAACTCCTGAGCTCAAAGAAACCTCTTGCCTCAGCCTCCCAGAGTGCTAGGATTATAGGCGTGAGCCATTGTGCCTGGGCCATAATGGTATTTTTATTATTTTTTTAAAAATTATTTATGTTTTACCTCCTTGGGTTTTTTTTGATGTTGTTGTTGTTGATACAGAGTCCCACCCTGAGCAGAGTGTAGGGGCATCACAGCTTACTGCAACCTCAGACTTGGGCAGTGGGCATGGCTCCCAGATGGGTTTTTCAATTTTTTTTAATGAGTAGGGGTTTTTCTTTCTTTCTTTTTTTTTTGAGACAGAGCCTCAAGCTGTCCCCCTGGGCAGAGTGCCATGGCATTACAGCTCACAGCAACCTCCAACTCCTGGGCTCAAGCGAGTCTCCTGCCTCCGCCTCCCAAGTAGCTGGGACCACAGGCGCCCGCCACAATGCCTGGTTGCAGCCATCATTGTTGTTTGGCGGGTCCGGGCTGGGGATTCGAACCCTTAGCCGGTTGAGCTATAGGCGCCTAGCCATGAGTAGGGGGTCTTAATCTCACTGAGGCTGAGATAAGTCTTGAACTCCTGAGCTTAAGCAGTTCTCCTGCCTCAGCCTCCCACTGTGCTAGGATTACAATAATGGTTTGTTGTTTGTTTTTTTTTTTTTAAAGAATTGGGTCAGGCACAGTGGCTCACACCTGTAATCTTAGCACTTTGGGAGGTGGAGGCAGGAGGATTGTTTGAGGCTAATTCAAGATCAGCCTAAGCAAGAGCAAGATCCTGTCTCTATGAAAAATAAAACAATCAGCTGGGCATCATGTTGTGTATCTATAGTCCCACCTGTTTGAAAGGCTGAGGCAGGAGGATCACTTGAGCCCAGGAGCCTGAGGTTGCAGTGAGCTACAATGATGCCACTGCACTCTAACCTGGGTGACAGAGTGAGACCCTATCTCAAAAAACAAACAAAAAGAGAATCAGTCAACATTGGAGGATGGTAGAGAAATAATTCATTACATATGAAAACCAGTAAAGAGGGTGGCACCTGTGGCTCAGTGGGTAGGGCCTTGGCCCCATACTGAGGGTAGTGGGTTCAAACCTGGCCTCGGCCAAATTGCAACAAAAAAATAGCCGGGCATTGTGGCGGGCACCTGTAGTCCCAGCTACTCCAGAGGCTGAGGCATGTGAATCGCCTAAGCCCAGGAGTTGGAGGTTGCTGTGAGCTGTGTGATGCCACGGCACTCTACTAAGCGTGACAAAGTGAGAATCTGTCTCTACAAAAAAAAAAAAAAAAGAAAGAAAAGAAAACCAGTAAAGAAAAACAAGCATTTGTCCTGATTTTCCTTCATAAACTATATGACTAGTAACCAACAATAGATGATCGGAAATACCATCTATAAATACCACTATAATACCATCTGGCTTGGCGCCTGTACTCAGTGGTTAGGGCGCCGGCCACATACACTGGGGGTAGTAGGTTTAAATCTGGCCCAGGCCTGCTGAACAACAATGACAACTATAACAAAAAAAAAAATAGCCAGGTGTTGTGGTAGGTGCCTGTAGTCCCAGCTACTTGGGAGACTGAGGCAAGAGAATCGCTTAAGCCTAAGAGTTTGAGGTTGCTGTGAGCTGTGATACCACAGCACTTTACCGAGGGCAACAAAGTGAGATTCTGTCTCAAAAAAAAAGTGTTCTATTACATGAAAAAGTAATAAAATTAGAATACTACCATTTGACAGGCTTTAATGAACTGATATAGGCACTATGTATCAATGACCACTAACATCATAGCAAGAGACATTGCTTGCCTCCTATAGTCTTTTTTTCTTCATAAGACAAAATCTACTCTGTCACCCTGGTTAGAGTGCCATGGCCTCAGCTTAGCTCACAGCAACCTCAAACTCCTGGGTTCAAGCAATCCACCTGCCTCAGCTACTTGAGTAGCTGGGATTATAGGCATCCACCACAACACCTGGCTAGTTTTTCTATTTTTGGTAGAGATGAGGTCTTGCTCTTGCTCAGGTTGGTTTTGAAGTCTTGAGCTCAGGTGATCCACCTGTCTCAGCCTCTCAGAATGCTAGGATGACAGGTGTGAGCCACCACGCCCAGCCTTGTGCCTCCTATAGTTGTGCCAAAGGAATCTGAACCTAAACCAGCTTGAGTCTCTGGATCCAGCTGTCAATTTGCAAGAAATGCAGAGATAATTGCAATATGTTAAACTTCATAATTAGTGTGCAATTAGCAAAATCCAAGCAGGCAAATTCTATGGGTGGACTAGCCCAAGGTTCTTCAGTAGATAAACTGTAAGGCAGAGAAAGGGAAGTAAGGAGAATCTATGGAGAAGACTAAAAGACATCAACTGTTTTAAGAGGGCAAGACTAAACATGTGTCAAGGATGCAAATTTGGATGACAAAACTACAAAAAACTCACAATGAGGTGACTATCTTAGGAGTTAGGCTAATGACTACTTACAGGGGAGAGGGAGGATATTTAACTAGAATGGGGCACATGACAGGGCTTCTTGGTGGACACTGTTCTAGTGCTCGGGTTGGTGGTGGTTACAAGGCTATGTTCTCAGGAAGAATTCATTTTTACAAGCCACACTTTTGTTCTGTGTGGTTTTCTGTATTTGGGTTTGTTTTGTTATAAAGGGAGTAACACAAGTGGGAGAAACAAGTCAACCTAGGGTGAAGCAGCAGATTCAGTTTGAATTTGGCCAAGCCTGGCTGACACTTAACCTTCATTCAACGAGTATTTGTTGAGTATCTATTATAGCAGGTACTAGAAATATCACTAAATAAAGATACTATCTCTGCCCTCAAAGAGTTTATAGTCCAGTGGATGAGACAGACATGAATCATATTTTACTTATTTATTTATTTATTTACTTTGTAGGAAAGGTCTTTATTGGTAGGGGAGGGAGGCTGCAGAGCAGCACCGAGGAGGAGAGAAGAGAGGGGAGAGAGATAAGGAGAGAGTGGGGAAAAGAAGAGAGAGTAGAGTGAGGGGGAAGACAGGAGAGAGAGAGAAGGAAGGCAGAAGGAGGAGAGAGAGACTTTTTTTTTTTAATTTAAAAAATTTTTTGAACAGGGTTTCACTCTGTTGCCCAGGCTGGACTGCAACAGTACAATCACAAGCTCACTGCACCCTCATACTCCTGGGCTCAAATGACTCACATGCCTCAGCCTCCTCAATAGCTGGGATTACAGGCATGTACCACCATACCTCCCCAGTAGCTGGGATTACAGGCCACAGCCTGTGCCTCATTTGAATCTCAGTCATCCATTCATTCATTTACTTACTAAGACAGAGTCTCACTCTGTTGCCTAGGTTAAAGTGCTGTGGTATCAGCCTCGGCCATAATATCCTCAAAATCTTGGGTTCAAGTGATCTTCTTGCCTGCCTCCCAAGTAGCGATACTACAGGAGCTTGCCACATGCCCAGCTAATTTTTTTATTTTTAATAGAGACGGGGTCTTGCTTTTATTCAGGCTGGTCTCAAACTCCTGAACTCAAGCAATCCACCCAGCTTGGCCTCCCAGAGTGCTAGGATTATAGGCAGGAGCTACTGTGCCTGGCCTTGAATCACATTTCAATCAAACAACCACACTGCTAAATATACAACTGCATGTTGAGTCAAGTGCACTGCAGGAAGGACACCAGGTCTACCAGGGAAACAACATAGGAAACTCCCTTGGACTGGGGGTCAGGGTGGGGGAGCATTCAGTGAAGATCTCCTTGATGATGGGACACTGAGATGAGGAAAAATAGTTGTTGACAGCGAAGGATGAACAGTATAGGGACCAAGCTTTCAATGATATTCGGTCAGTGGGGGACAGCAACATTAATCCTGTAATAACATCTTTTATTTTCCAATTCCTGGTAGGTGCTATGAAGGAAAATCACAAGGAACCAGGGTAATGTAAACAAGGGACTGAGTTAGCCTGCATGGCCAAGGAAGGCCATGGGGGCAAGGAGGTTGGGGATGCTTTAGACTCTGAGAAGAGCACTTGCCACCATGGTGGCAGGGACATGAGGATGAGGGCCAGTGAAGCTGGCATCAGCTGTGCAGCAAAAGACTGCGGAGAGGGTAAGAGCCTTGCAGTTATGTTGAGAGTTTGGTGGCTTTTTCTTTCAGCACAACCATTTTGAGTTTTTTTCTCTGTTTTTTTGTGGTTTTCGGTTGTCAGAACTTGGGCAGAAGGTGCTGCTAGCACCTAGTGAGTAGAGGCCAGAGATGTTAGATATTCTAAAATGCCTAGAATAACTCCTACAACAAAGAATTGTTAGGCTCAAAATATTAGGACTGACACTGACAAACCCTGGCCTAGGAGACTCTAATTACCCTGCATTGTTCTTCAACAAGAGTGCTCTACATGTCAACTAAGGGGAGGTCCTTAACTATAAGGCTGGCATAACTATGATCTACCCTTTTCACTTCCCAAGGGTTCCTGGGGTAGTAGAGGAGAGAAAGATCTGGGGATTTCTTACATAGTACCAGTCTTTGGCAGTCTGGAATTGAGGCCAGAAATGCTCACTTTTAAAGTTTGTCAGCAGAATGGCAAACATACACATATCTACAGAAACAGGAAATATCAATCTACCTCTCAGAGCTGTGCTTCTGTCATAACTTACACACATAAAGATAATAATGTCAGATACAAAGCTTTGACAACCAAGGATTATTTTAATTGCTCTTGAATTTCAGACTTATTAATATGACACAAAGAAAGCTAAACCTTTGTCCTATATAAAAAGTTATTGTTGATATCCCAGATAATGAGTTTAGGGCATGAATCTATTGCTTTTGGGTTACTTACTATCATTTTTTTGAGACAGAGTTTCACTCTGTTGCCCCAAGCGAGAGTGCTGTGATGTCATAGCTCACAGCAACCTTAAACTCATGGGTTCAGGAGATTTTTCTGCCTCCCAAGTAAGTGGGACTACAGGTGCTTGCCATGATGCCCAGCTAATTTTTCTATTTTTAGTAGAGATGGGGTCTCATTCTTGCTCAGGCTGGTCTTGAACTCCTGAGCTTAAGCATTCCACCTGCCTCAGCCACTCAGAATGCTAGGATTTCACTTGTGAGCCACCTACACCTGGCCTACTTTTGGGTTAACTTATTTGGCTTATTTTTTGTTGTTGTTGTTGTTGAGACAAAGTCCCACCCTATTCCCCCTAGCAGAGTGCAGTGGTGTCATAGCTTACTGCAATCTTAGACTTGGGCTGTGGGCATCCTGCCGCCTCAACCTCCTAAAGCTGCTGGGATTACAGGCATGCTGCTGTGCCTGGCTGAGTTTTTAAATTTTTTCATGAGTCAGGATCTCACTCTTGCTCAGACAAGTTTCGAACTCCTGAGCTCAAGCATTTCTCCCTACTCAGCCTCTCACAGTGTTGGGATTACAGGTGTGAGCCACCACACTGGGCTATTTGGCTTATATTTTAAAACTGGCCTGCTTAGAAGCTGCTCATCCCGCCAGCCTTGGGCCTTCTAAGAGAGTGGTGACAAAACAGCCATACTTTTAGATATTTCATAAGAGCATAAATAATCTTAAAGTTCTGTTGCCAAATTTTTTAAAAATGGCTTTAAAAACACTATAATAGCTCTTCCATAAACTAAGGTGGTTCTGAACAGACTCATGAATTTTTTTTCCAGTTTCCTTGGGAGCAGACCTATTGGAACTTAAATCATGGTGTTACATGGTGAACAAGTTCTTAAGCTAGCCCACAAAGGTCTCCTTAACCCATGACACGGGTGACCCAGAAAATACATTGAGTTTCAGCTCTGAACTTGAGGTACCTCTTCCTTGTTTTTCACATGAAGGTCATTCCCTCTGCTACCGCTGTGAGATTTCCCCCAATTCCACGTGGAGGGATTCTAAGTATAGTCCTTCCCCACCCCCATGCTCTGCTTCTCATTCTACACTCTTCCCAGGCAATCTCCTCCACATCAGGGGCTTTGATGAGGATTTTATGGGCTGATAATTCCCAAATGTATTTATTCAGCCCAAAACTCTCTTGGAGTACCATATCCAGACATCCAAAGCATATTCGATTTCTCCATGCAGGCGTCTCACAGTCACCCCAAATTCAGTACATTCAAACTGAACTCAACATCTTCTCCTATGAACATGGCTCTCTTCCTGTGTTCTCCATCTCAGAGAAGGGTATCATTATTTATCTGGTTATGGAGGTCTGGAATCTTTTCTCTCTCAACTTCCCACATTCAACCCATCAGCAGGTCCTGATTTTACTCCCTACAATTTCTCTCCATTTCTGTCACCCTCATCCGAGGATGTGCCACTATCATCTTACAGAGACTACTGTGATGACCTCTTAATGGGTCTCTCTACAACCCTTCTTGCTGCCCTTCAATCCTTTCTCAAAAAGGTTGTCAAAGTATCTTTCAAAAAATACAAATCTGATTGTTCTACTCTTGCTTTAAAAACTTTCAATCACTGCTCCATAGGTGAAGCCCAAACTCCTAACCATTATCTCTGAAGCCCTGTCTGCTCTTCTGCGCATGCATTTTCCTGCCTCACTGCCTTCATCCCCACACCACCCTCCACACCATTCTCCACACCTCTACTACAGTGGACCATTCTGTCCCTGTGCCTCTTTGAGCTTGCTAATTTTCTACTCATCTTTTAACTCTCAGCTTATGCTTCACCTTGTTGGGGACACATCTCTTGACCTCCTCTGTTAGACACTCCCATACCTCTCTGTATCACTTCCCACAGCCAAGGGTAACAACTACTTTCTAATTACTTGTTTAATAAGTTCTGTCTTACTAGAAAGCAAGTTCTAGGGGAACAAGGACCTAGGACAGTAGTCCATAAAAATAGAGGAACAAAACTAACCCAGGTCCGAATACTAACTCTCCCACTTGCCAGCTGTGTTATCTTGGGAAACATGTACCCTTCTTGTTATTTGGGCAAGTCATTTAACTCTTTCTGTTTCACTTTCCCCTTCTGTAAAATGGGGATAATAGTTCCTACTTTATAGGTCATGAGGATTAAATTGTTTGTTTTTTAAAAATCTATATAGTACTTACAACAGTGTCTGGTGCTTGTAAGTGCTATTTATTTGTTAAATAAATATATAAATATAAATAATCGATGCTTGTTACCAGATTAAAGATCTGGAGAAGTAAAGGCTTTTCCTTCAAAAAGGCAAGTGTGGCTCGGCGCCTGTAGCTCAAGCGGCTAAGGTGTCAGCCACATACACCTGAGCTGGTCGGTTTGAATCTAGCCTGGGCCTGCCAAACAACAATGATGGCTGCAACCAAAAAATAGCCAGGCGTTGTGGGCACCTGTAGTCCTAGCTACGTGGGAGGTGGAGGCAGGAGACTTGCTTGAGCCCAGGAGTTGGAGGTTGCTGTGAGCT